TACTCCATGTTTCCTCTCATGATCTCCTCTTCGCCAATCTTCTCTCTTCTCGGTTCCTCTTCTCCCATAGGTGCGTTGTCTCCTCACAGTGATACTTGTAACCTGTACTCCATCCAGCAGCTTCATCTCTTCCACACTAGGCTTTTGCGATGGCCCAATGCCCCTCTGGTTAGGCTGGCGCCTATTCTGGGTGTACCTATTCCCTGCTTTCTTCGTATTGCCTTTCCTATACCACTCGCTCCTTCGTTCCCGACGAACATCTTCACTCCTCCATGAGATTCTCTTCCCTGCAGACGTCTTCTTCGGTTCGTGGTTGGGCTCATCCACTTCCCTGTGGCTCACCTCACTACGGTGGTTCATATTGCACCTACCCTTATTCATCTGGCTGGCATAGGGTGCACTGCGTCGTGGCTCCTCCACTCTGCCCCTCACCGCCGTTCGCTCATCCACTGAGCTTACTTTATTCACGTTTCTGTATGGAGGGAGTGCGGTCTGCAGCCTCTTCACCGCCCCAGGCGTTTGTACAGCTGCTCCTCGCCACTCCTCCACACGCATCATCAGGCTTAGTCGGAGGTCCCCGTCGGGGTTTTCCACAACCTCCGACGACCTCTCTGCACTGTCGCCCTCGTTGTCGTCGTCTCTGGCGACGTTTCCCCTGGCGAAGTCGGCTTCCTCTCTATCATCTGGAACGACCGATACCTCACCCGGCAGGGTTGTACCGCTGCTTGCAACATAGGCACTCCTGGCCCAATCAGGTTGTATCCTGCCTCCTCCGAGGTCATTACCCAGCACCATCTGTACATGCTCTAGGGGTAACTTAGGGGCTACAGCTACTATAGCTTTCTCGACTCCGCAATCGGCAATCAGCTGTACTTCGTGAAGTGGCAACCTATATTCCTCCCCCACACTGCGTATCCTCACCACTCCCACAGGTGAATCATTAAATTCCTTGGGGAGAATACTCCTGGTTACCATACTTATGTCAGCACCCGTATCTCGAAGAACGGCCACCTCCACTGGGTCTGACTTTCCAAACTTCACGTTGGCCTCGAAAACGAAGGGATGTTCACCCAACTTCATTTCCCAACCATTCACGTTGGGTCCACTATAATATGGGGTGTGAACAAACACTCTCTCCTCTTCCAACATTAATCCTACATTCCTTTTGGTGCTCCTCACACTTGCGGGCATAATGTCCTCTCACGCCACAGTTGTAGCATCGGCTGCCTCCCCTGGGCGGCCACTCGCTAGTCACTCTGGCGGTACTACTTGCAGACGTCCCCTGGGTCCTCCTTGGACTCCCTGTCGTCGTATCCGGGACTGCAGCACTTGCTCCCGAGTTAGGTCCACTGCTCACAGCTTGGGGCTTCCTCCCCGCGTCTCTTGAGCTCTTGAACCACGTTACTTCATCGGGCACACTACTCTTGAGAGAGTCCCCACCCGTCCTCGCTCCTCCTGAACTCCTAAAGTTCCCTCCCGACCTGGGGTAAGGCGAGTGTCTGGGCGGCCCCTCCCTCCTGATATGTAGTGCCTCCTCCAGCATGTCGGCTCGGTCCGCTGCAGCCTTCAGGTCCTTAATACCTGCTTCTCTCATCCTTACTCGCAACTCAGGATGGAGCACCGACATGAACTTCTCCATCACTATTAGTCGTTTGATATCATCCACCGACTCCGCTTCCTCCGCCTTCAACCATCGTAGGAATTTCCATTCCATATCCCTGGCGGTCTCGGCGTAAGTCTTTCCCGGCGCTCTTGTACACTCTCTGAACCGCTTCCGGTACATCTCCGGAGTCAGCCGGAATGAGTGGAGAACCGCATACTTAATCGCGTTATAACTAGTACACTCCTCTAGGTCCAGCATGTTATAGGCTTCCCGGGCCTCACCAGTCAACCTGCCCTGGACCAGAGCAGCCCAATCATCTTCTGGCCACTCCTTCAGAGTTGCTATCCATTCAAAGTGTTCGAAGAACGCCTCAGCTTCCTGTGGTTCGAACGTAGGTAAGTCACGTTCCCTTACCTTGGGGTCATCTCGCCGTGCAGGTTGTGAGGGCAGACCACGCTCAACGCGACGCAATTTGACTTCTTTCTTTGCCTTTATCTCCTCCAGTCGCAGTTGTCTCTCTCCTTCTTCCCGCTGCAGCCGAGCTTCTCTCTCACGCTCCTCTCGCTGCAGCCGTGCTTCTCGCTCACGCTCCTCTCGCTGCAGCCGTGCCTCTCGCTCACGCTCCTCTCGCTGCATTTGTGCTTCTCTCTCCTCTCTTCGCAGCTGGGCTTCCAGTTGCATCTTCATTATTTCTAGTTGCAGGCTCCTCTTACTACAGCTGGACCTTCCACTGCTCCCATGTTCACTGTGAATTCTCTCCACACTGGTAGGCGCTTGGGGTGGCTCTAGTCGGGACGGTTCACCTTGCGACGGCTCTCCTCGGGACGGCTCCTCTTGAGATGGCTCCTCTCCCGTCGCCTCCTCTCGAGCTGTGAGCTGTGCCATGATCTCTATCCTTCGCTCCGCTACCTTAGTCGTCCTCAACCTGATCCCAAAGTGGTTTGCCACTTGTTGGAGCTGGGCCTTGGTACACTCCTCCAAAATTCTCTCGTCCCTTGTGTCAATAAATTTCTTTACTTTGTCCTCCTCCATCTCTATATCATTGAGCATACACGACAGCACAGACAAGTTAGTAGGCACTAATTTCACCGTTTCAGTCCCTTAGCCGGTTGAGTAACAGTACTACTGAATTCACTGGCCACACTGTATTAGTACCCTGGCAACACTTGTCTTGAAATTTGGGCCACACAGTAGCTTGATCCGCGCTTCCTGGCGAAGTTCCCAGTTCTTGGCTACCGGGGTTCGAATCCTGGCAAGGTCGCCAGTTCTCTGTCACGTTGGGGGTGGGGTGGTCCGGGGCTCTGCTAACACTTAACTGCTAGGGGCTCAAAAGACCCAAATACTCAGCCCCTCCGACTCTCGGGATTCACCGGAGCCTCCCTGGTCACACGGGAGAGGACCAACAATGCCCACCTCCGCAGGTCTTTGCTTCCAAGATTCTCGGTGGATGTGACCCCAGTCACAGCTAGGCCTGCCCGCCGCACCTTCCAGACCTCAACGTCCAGCCAGCGGCGCCGCCCAGCGTCGTCGCCGACTATTTTCCAAGTTTGGCACTTCTCTGCTCAATGAACTTGGTTCCTCTTTGCTTCCCAGAAGCGCAGGGTCTCCAATAACTATGGTGGGCTGCGATGGCTAGTTCAATCCACTGAATAAGGCTTGCAGAGCCTCCAATCCTTGAGAGCAGACCGAGGCGCGTCCTGTCGCTTCCAAGGTCAGACCAACTCTGACGTTGGCGCCGCCCGGGGCACTCGGTGACGTCATGGCGGGCCCTGATTGGTCGCCCGCGACCCACGTCGGCCAATCCGCGATCGGCTAATGTCCCTTCCAAAAGGTCATATCTGCCGTAGGGGATACTCTTTCATTTTATAACAGGGCGCCAATTTTCCTTTATTTACAACTTATAATATAACTTCCTTCCATTAAATGGCAGCCGGTCTGGTCGCCACATATGTCAATAGACTCCCTGAAACTCAGAGAATCAGTAGGGAGAGCTGATATGACTCTTTAAGACGGCAAACGAAAGAAATAGGAGAGGGCACTGTAACAATGGTAGGTTGTTCTATTCTTATGTGAATTGCTTCAAGAAATTGTAATCTATTTGCATCTTGGGTTTTGTCTATTATACAGGTATTTTTGTTCAACATTTCTCTTGTTAGGGTGATGTCATGGGCTTGTCTCATGTAATTCCTGGGAGCACCGGATTGAAGATAACATGTCAAACGCCTCGTCAGCTTGGACGACGTCATACCTATGTACTTAGATTCAAGGTTACATTCTTCGTTGGGGCAAGTGTACATGTAACGCTTGACTGCTGTAGAGGGCTCTCCGTCGGCTTCGGGTTGTTGTTGATAAGGAGTTCGGAAGTTTTCTTGGTTTTGTAGAATATGATCAGGTCTATGTTTTGGTTAGGAATAATGCTTTTTACTCCTTTACGGATAATTTCTTTCATTATTCTTTCCTCTTTTATATGTTCACTGTGCATGGTTGATTTGTAATATAATTTTATTGGAGGTATTGTGGTTTCTGTTCTAGGTTCTGGATTATACCAACGGTCCAAGTGTCTTCTTATAGCAGCGTTTATTTCCGCGTTGCTATATCCGTTGTTCACCAGTACCTGAGTTACTCTTTCAAACTCTCTACTAACGTTGCTCCATTCGGAGCAGTGGGTAAGCTCTCGACAAATATATGCATTGAGAACACTGGCTTTGTATCTTTGGGGGCACTCACTTCTACCGTTCAGGCATAATGGTGGGCTTAGTATATATGTTGGTGCTTAAAGAGGTTCCGGTTTTCGTTATTAGTACATCCCAGAATGGCAAACGGTTATTTTCACTATTTTCATGTGTAAATCGGAATACTGACTCTCTCTCTAGATGGCTTTTTAGATCAATTAGTTCATCTGAGTCTTTTACTATGACGAATATGTCATCTACATAACGGCAATATACAGTTGGTTTTTGTCTGCTACTGAAGACTCTGTCTTCGATGGTTCCCATATAAAAAATAGCAAATAAAACTCCTAAGGGGGAGCCCATTGCTACTCCGTCTATTTGTAGATACATGTCTCCTTGTGGATTGATGAAAGGGGCTTCCTTTGTACATGCTTCGAGAAGACTCTTCAAGTCTTCAGTACAGAGACGAGAGCACTCCCAAATTAGACATACCTGAGCCACACTTGAAGAGTCTTCTTGAAGCATGTAAAAAGGAAGCCCCTTTCATCAGTTTCCTGCGTCCAAGCGTTCGCGGCGTGCTTTGAGTCTGTCTCCTCCTCGTGGTGTGGCCTGGGCCGACGTCTGGGATTCTGGGGACTCCAGAAGTTCGTCTTCTGTGGATGATAATATGGACGATAGGGCCCACAGGAGTGCCTGCGGCTCCTGTGGGCCCTATTGCAGCGGTGATGGATTCTGCGGCAGCATTGTCGCCTGGCCCTGGTCCTGTATCTTCTCCGGCACCTCTGCATCCCCCGGTTGCTGGTTCCCCGAGTTGGGAGGTTGTGGCACCGGCCGAGGTTGCGGGAGAGGGTGGGGACTTGGTGCTGGTTTATAAGAAAGATTCTCTTCCGGCGGGTCCCGTGCCTCTGGCGTCCATGTCTGTGCCATATGGGCATCAGCCCTCGGTGATGTCGACCGCTGCGCAGCTGCCCTCTGCTCAGCCGTCCTTCGTTACTCCGGCTCCTGCAGTGTCGGCCCCTGCACCATCGCCCTCTGTGATTGTGTCCCCTGCGACTGTGCCCGCTATGTTGCCGCCCTGCAGTGCCAGGGCGGCAACTGAAGCTGACTGCCAGGACTGAAGCACAGCCAGCTCCTGTGCTTCAATCTCATGTGGTTCCACCGTCTATACCAAAAGCTCTTTGAATTGAATTGTTGACGCCGAAGGCGGCTAGTTTATTGTGCACCCCATACTCATCCTGTGAGCGGTAGCGCAAAAGCATTACAGAGGGCACAAAAGGTCTTTATCAGACCTCATCTTAGATTATTACATAAACAATTTCTTCAATCCTTCACACCTTATAGATACAATGTCAGTTAGTTACAGAGAAAGTGCTATTACAAGAGCTACATATTTACAGTAAGTCATCATACATTAATGGTAGGTCTTGTCGTTAATACATAATAGTTTGGCCAATGGGGATATTACAGAGTCATAGGGAGCTTCTGTTTATTATTAGTCCTCACAATACACTACTTGTTTCTGAATCTCATATGTCGTTCATCTACTGGAAGCAAAACGTGGGTACAGTGCAAGGATTTCAGGTAATTTATCCATGGTAATAAGATAGGTTGCCATATCATATAGAGTGAGCTTAGATTCACCTCTAAAAGGCTCAATTTTACAACAATCCAAGATATAGTGTTCGAGTGTGTGTCCCTGCCTATGTCCACACACTTTACACTTTACTTCATCTAGATCCCTATACAAGCCGAACTGCCAGAGATACTTGTAGCCAAGTCTTATACGAACTGTGACAACATCTGTTAGTCTACTGACTTTGTTACTTGCCCCATACACATGTTTTACTTCACACATTGCATTGTGATGAACAATGGACCTACTAGTTCCAGTTTGCACTGTTCTACTTTCTTCAAATCCATCTAGGAGTTCTCGTCTAATGACACTTTTAAGGGACCTATTTGATAACTCAAGATTCCATTCAATACTGTCTTTATTTACTGCAGCCTTAGCAAGGGCGTCAACTTTGTCATGTTCCTGCATGCCAATGTGAGAAGGAATCCACAACATTTTTATATTTACCCTCTTGCTAAGTATTCTTAAATATCTACGTCTAGCTTCCAAGACAAGCACGTTATTACTTGACTGCAAACTGTTTATTGCTCGTAGTGAGGATAGGGAGTCAGAAATAATTAAGCTGTCTACTTCAGTGTTGTCAATAATTTCGAGTGCTACCAGTATCGCTACCAACTCGGCTTGCATTGTGGACGCCCAGTTACTAATTCGGATATTTCTTTGAATTATTCTGCCATCGGGCTGATGAGCAATAACAGCACTTCCTGCCCTCCCTTTAGCTGTATTGAGTGATCCGTCAGTGTATATGGTCTGTGCAATGTTGTTTTCAGCTTGTATATTGTGAATGTGTTCTATGGCTCTTCCCGTGACGTCCGCCCCCGTGGTGGAGGGCGCCGAGCTGGGTGTTCCTTACTTCATGCATGGACCGCGAGGATCACGTTGTCACTTTAACGCATCTTCGGAATTGTGGGCTTGGTGGGATGCCTACAGGAAGAAGTACCCACGGTGATTTTTTTTTTTCGTGTGTTTCTTGTCTGATTATTGTTGGGTTCTAGTGCTGTAGTGCTTTTTTCTTTTCTGACTGTATTTTATTGTTACCTATGTTTATGTTACATTTTGTGTATTGTACGACTTTTGCTTTCCTGTTCTACAGTTTGTCTATGTGTTTCTTGCTTCTTAAATGTAAATGATGCTGTTGCTGTTTTTCTGTTTTGTTGTATTTGTATTTCCAAAATAAAAAGAAAAAACAATGAATAGTTAGAAATAACTAGGAGCTGCCTCGTATGAGTCAATAGACCTTCTGTAACATCGACAATAGCTACGAAAAAGCGGTGTGTAACTATATTTTTATTAAATTCATTCCTGGTGTGCTAAAATGTGCCCTCCTTTTTTATTTTTTACACAAATTTCAAAACCATTTTTTCAGAAAGAGACAATCGTCTGCTGAAATGATTAGTTTCATATTATGTTAAATATTGCGTAATCAGTACATAGTTTTAGAGGGAAACTCCGCAGGATACTGAATCCATCAGCAAGCTCGATACAGAGATGGCTACACTGGTTACTGTACTGGAGAAGGTGACTAGGCCTTGAACTGGTGCAGGTGACTAGGCCCTGTACTGGAGAAAGTAACGAGTTATTGTATTGGAGGAGGTGACTTTTACGATGCAGGTATTTAATATAACTAATATTGCAGAGTCAAGACCAAACACTCTCTTTAATTGCTCAACCAGAGGATGTCTCGAACTGGTGATCCATTTGTGATATTGCTTAATGCTTCTAATGGAGCCTTGATAGCTTGGGGATCGAGGCGGGCACAGTTCCCATATCAACTGTGTCGAATAAAATTGTTTTATGTCATTCTATTTTGGTGTAGTTTCGAGATTTTGATCGATCAAAGTTCAAGAACGTGGAATGAGCTTAATCGTTACTCGTTTCCTCGAGTGTTTCAACTTGAATAAGGGGGGTCAAACTAGACTTAAAAATTTCTTCGTCATCTGCCTAGCGGGGATGGTAATTTGTGATGTTTTGATTGCAATCAAAACGATTCGTGAACCTGTATTAAATACAGCGTATTATCAGTGTTTGGGTTGCTTAAATTTTTTTTTTAAGTATTTAAACAGACTCAGATGCTAGATAATAAATAGCTGTCTTTGGTTATATATTTGTTTGGTTATATATTTACTGTAGCTGTGTTTGGTTATATATTTACTGTAGCTGTGTTTGGTTATATATTTACTGTAGCTGTGTTGGGTTACATATTTACTGTAGCTGTGTTTGGTTATATATTTACTCTAGCTGTGTTGGGTTACATATTTACTGTAGCTGTGTTTGGTTATATATTTACGGTAGCTGTGTTTGGTTATATATTTACTGAAGCTGTGTTTGGTTATATATTTACTGTAGCTGTGTTTGGTTATATATTTAGTGTAGCTGTGTTTAGTTATATATTTACATAGTTATGGTACCACGGTCAGAGTTGGAACTAAGTACACAGTCCATGTTTCTCATTAAAATGGCATCAAATTGATCCCCATTATAGTTATATTTTATATAATCATTCACAAGCTAATGTAAGGAGGAGGAGGCGGGTCCCTATCACTCCACCTACAGCGTCGAGGGGGACTAAACATGGAGTATTAATTAACCGGAGGAGCCGTGGCTGCTCTTATTATGTTTTTCTAAAATTTGCCATTCGCTCTATTTTTTGTTGCTTATTATTTACCATTATTCGGTTGTAGCAGAGAGTCATTGAGGAAATTTGTAAAAGCTATTGAGAACTGCTTAGAACTATGTTTGCTTGCTTTAAGACACCCCCATGACACACAATGAAAGTGTGTTTTGGGTTACTAAGAGGCAGGCGGCCCAGATTGTGGTAAATGTTTGTCCGGTTTGGAGTGGAGACGGGTTCAACTAAAAATGAGCACACAGGAAATTATTTCGACGTTCAGTAAACACTTACCGAGTGGTTAACTGAATGTCCATGAGCTCAATACTGGGTTGATGATAGTAGTATTTAATTTAAGATTGAAAAACTTTAAATTAAACAGAAATGAGGGCACGAAGTGATTCCCACTGTCCATAAACACTTACTGAGTTATAAACTGAATGTCTAAGCCAGCCAATACATGGTTGATGATGGTAGTAATATTTTAAGATTGGGAAACTTTAAACTAAACTAAATGACCACACATGTGGCAATTTCCATGTTCAGTAAACACTCACTGAGTTGTAAACTGAGAGACTAAGCCAGCCAATACATGGTTGATGATGATAGTAATATTTTAAGATTGAGAAACTTTAAACTAAACTAAATGATCACACATGTAGCGATTTCCGCGTTCAGTAAACATTTACTGAGTTTTAAACTGAATGCCTGATTCGGGCAATACAAGGTTTGTGATAGTAATATTTTATTTTACGATGGAGAAACTTTAAACTAAAAAATGAGGTCACATGAAGGGATATCTATGTTGAGTAAACACTTACTGAGTTGTAAACTAGATGGTTCAGCGATCCAATACATGGTTGATATTGTATTTAAAAAAAAGTATTTAGTAAACAGTTGATAGACAGTTGAGAGGCGGGCCGAAAGAGCAAAGCTCAACCCCCGCAAACACATCTATGTGAATACAACTAGGTGAATACTCACTCAAAGTGGAAATACAAAGTGGAAATAGATGAAATATTCACACGTAATAATAACAGAACGAGGAGACATGGGTGGAAACTGGAAATTCAGATGTTAGGAAGCTTTCATTTAGCGTGAGAGTAGTGGGAAAATGGAATGCACTTGGGGAACTGGTTGTGGAAGCAAACTCTATTCATAATTTTAAAATTAGGTATAATGGGGAATGGGACAGGAGTCATTGCTGTAAACAACCGATGGCTGGAAAGGCGGGATCCAAGAGTCAATGCTCGATCCTGCAAGCACAAATAGGTGAGTACTCACACACACAAACAGACGAAATGTTCAGACGGAATACTAGCAGAACAAGGGGGACAAGGGTGAAAGTTGGAAACTCAGATGAGCCACAGAGATGTTAGGACGTTTTCTTTTAGCGTGAGAGTAGTGGGAAAATGGAATGAACTATAGGAAGGGAAGGGAGCTATCAGAAAAAGCGCCAAGCCATTACGAGTATATAGCACTTGGAAGGGGTCAGGATAAGGATTTTCGATGGGATGGAAGGGAAGGAACGGTGGCCAACCACTTAAACGGTTGGGCACCATTTTATAGCCACGGCTACAAAATGGCTTTTCACTTAAGAATGAACCATGTAAGTTCGAAACGTTGTGTAAATTTATAATAAGTGTAATATACTATACAGTTAATTATTCATTTTTCTTTATCTCGAACAAAGATAACATTTGGACCCCTGTATGTACATCTTTCCGTCTGTGTTTATAATCCCGTCTGATTATGTGCGTACGTCTGTCTGTCCTTCTCAGTCTCTCTGTCTCACTGACTGAATTTTGTGACAGCAAATTCATTTCCAGGTTATTCGTCACTGCATAACCAATGGAGATGATGACAATAGACTGGGA